CCCCAAAACCCCAAAACCCCAAAACCCCTACTAAAACCTACAAAATTGAATAGAAATAAATTTAACCTTAAAAAATCTATGCGAGCATCGAAAGTTCATATAAATCAAGACTCTAATCTTGACCCTAAATTCTCACTTATTCACTCAAAATCCACCCTCAATCCTTCTGGAGACCTTAAACTTCCTCTCAAGCCGATCCTTCTATCACCTGCTCCAAAGCACTCAAAAGATTATATCCCTCAGTGTAAAATTTTTAAAGGTAATACAAAATTATCCTAATTTTTGTTTTAAATTATCTACCTTAAAATTCGGATTCTCTTTATGAATCCGAGCAAAGTCTGCTAGATCTTACTATTTGCAATATCCTTAGTTTAAACTCGGAAATATAGGTTTTAAGATTCAAAGAAAAGTTAAATGTGTTGTTAACAAAAGTCTTACCAAGAGCCACACCAAAGAAACTCGAAAGACAATTAGAGACCTTATTTCATGAATATCTACAGACCACAAGAGATACAGGAGGAATTTAAGCCAGACCAATAATCCACGACTACAGAGTAATTCCAATAATATTTCTTTTCTATTCCACACCCCTATAAGACCCCTATTCAGCTCTGACTATAGACCGGAGAATAATTAAGAAAGTGCACAAGCTCAAGAGCTCACAAAGATTAGCACATAACAAAAATATCAGAAAAGTAGGACAAAATAAGTTTCAGATCAGACCTTCGTACGTTTTAGAAGCCGAAAGATGAACTGAAGATAATCGGGAAACTAATGATTCTGATGAAGTAACGAAGAGTATTAGTCACTTAAAGACCACAAGGGAGCAAATTGAGAAAGATTTCGATCGGTTTGAGAAGGATAAGGTAAGGCTTCAAGTTACATCACATATTATGATAATTTCAAATTTCGGGTCTTTCTCTAGAACCAGATCAGGATTAAATTTAAACAATTAGGGTCTGAATTGATTCCATTTCTGCATAGATTACCTAAATTATAACCGGTGCTAATCTGTATATAGCCATCTGAAAAGAAGCAGATAATGAACTTAAGCAAGCTAGTCAAGCTTAACATTAATGTTTTCAGAAAATAGACTGGAGTATCTTAATTACAAAGACTTTATTTCCTCCAAGTCGTCCACAGACCTTTTTGATAAGAGCTTGAAGAGGCTGAGAAGAGCAGACAATTATAGAGTAAGAACTTTAGGCTTATTTATAGCTCAATCATATGCATGGGAGTCTTAAAGAAATCAAAGAACTCAACAAAACGTATGAAAGACCTGGTACTTTGAATGGCTGATACATGTAAGTTTTAATTTGTTATTTTTGATCAGAAATTTGTCCCTTTACACACTTAAATTCTTAGAGTAGATAGTATCTGATCTTATTATAGGCAAAGAAGCCAAGATAAAACATCACAACATGAATTGGCCTCTAGCCATGCTGTGAAAGGTAAGAATGGTTTTTTTTAATAAGAAGTTGTAACTGGAGAACTTTTTACGATAACAAGATTTGATAAATTAACTTATAGACAATCTCAATTCAACAAGGAAGATCTCTAAATTTGAGAAATTTAGGAAGTCAAACAATCATTCTAGCGCCTTAAGTAAGAGAGATGTCATCAAGGTTTTTCAGAAGCCTAAAATAAGGCCTTCTAACTCAAGATTCCTACTGAAACCGATATTCTCCAAATCAGAGTTGTAACTGACATATTCCTGCTAAGGGTTGAGTTATGCTCTGTTTCCTTTTTTGTTAAAGAAAGGAGCCTAGCTTGTTGGGTGAGGAGAATCGCCTTCACCCAAACCTCTGGTATAATATATGCTATAAAACTTCATAAACTTGTTTCACTAAGCATTGCAGGGCTATAAAGCTTTCCCTAAATTTAGGCCATTTCAATTATTAATTTAGATACGGGGTTTTGGGGTTTTGGGGTTTTGGGGTTTTGGGG